GCATTTAATTCCACAACTACATGAAAAAGATCCTATGAAAAATAAGATGAACTCAAACAACCCGCAGCCCGACCCAAAAGTATCCTCACAACACAGGGCCTTGGCCTTACTCAATCAAAAATTACATAAGCCACTCGGGCAACAGTAAAACATGATGCTCAGCCCAAAATATTATTTAAAATATCATTTCAAGTGTTAAAGCATAGTAAACATGGCTGAGTTTTGAAAACAGTAGAATATAGCATGACTGAGTACAAGTTTCAAGTCAAAATAGTGAGGAAATATCAATAACAATCCCGAAGGGTTCAAATAGTTAGCATGAGGCCCAAATATAGCATTCAACCCAAAACATGATGATAGCAAATAGTTTTCAATCAAATACAGAGTAAAACAGTCATTCGGGATGGATTAAGTCTCAATCCCCAACAGTGCATGACCCCACGCTCATCATCTAGCGTGTGCGTCACCTCAATATAGCACAACGATGTGCAATGCGGAGTTCATATACTCAGGACAACATTTACAATCATTACTCACCTTGACCCAGTCAAAACTCTAGACCGCTATGCCTTTTCCCGCACGAATCGACCTCCGGATGCTCCAATCTAGCCACAATTAGTATATAACCATTAAATTATGCTAAGCAAACGAAGCCCACTCGAAAATATTCAATTTACATCAAAAATTCCGAAATTGCTCAAACCCAGCCCCCGGGCCCACATCTCGGAATCCGACAAAATCAACATCAATGGAATCCTCATCCTCTCACGAGTCTATACATACCAAGAACACCAAAATCGGACCTCAATTGCCTTCTCAAATCCCCAATTTACACTCTCCAAATTCAAGCCCTAATTCCCTAGTTTTTTGGCTTTTATTTCCACATATATCCTGATTAAACAAGTAAGATGACATAGGATCGAGTATAGAGTTCAAAAATCTTACCTCAAAGTGTTTACCTTCGATTGCCTCTTCAATCTTTCTCAAAAGCTCCAAAAATTGCTCAACAATGGAGGAAATAGACCAAAATTCGCGAACTCACTTTTTTAAACATCCTGCCCCAGATAATATTACCTTCTTCGTGAACGCGACCGGCCTCTCGCATTCGCGTAGACCAAATTCATTGCCTCACCACTTTTCCCTTCGCGAACATGGACAATTTCACGCGAACGCGATGCTTCGCCACATCAGGCTTTCACGAACGCGATGCAACTCTCACGAATGCATAGCACATGGGCCTGGGGTGCCCAACGACCTCACTCCTCTACGCGAACGTGACCCCAGCCTCGCGTCCGCGATCCACATGAATCCTCCACCTTCATGTTCACGTTCTCATCCTCGCGAATACATAGAACAAAAATATCATCACATAAAACACCATTCACGAACACGAGTCCCTGACCGCGAACGCAAAGAACAAATTGTCTGCAACACAAAACCAGCAAAAACTGCCAAGTCCAAAGTCCAAATTTTATCCGATAAACCATTCGAAACTCACTCAAGGCCCTCGAGACATCAAGTAAACATGCCAACATAATCCATAACCTCATTCAAACTTGTTCCAACCTTCGGAATGCCCTAAAAAACATCAAAACACCAATATCCAATCGGATTCGAGCCTAAGAATTTCAAGAACTCCCAAATTACACTTTTGATCGAAAACCCAACCAAACCACGTCCGAATGACCTGAAATTTTGAATACATGTCAAAATTGACACAACGACGCTACTGCAACTTCCGGAATTCCATTCCAACCCCTATATCTAAATCTCACCTATTAACCGGAAAACGCCAAAATCTCAATTTCGCCAATTCAAGCCTAAACCTTCTACGGACTTCCAAAATCTATTCCGATCACGCTCATAAGTCCCAAATCACCTAACGGAGCTAACCAAATCATAAAAATTCTGATCTGAGATCTTATACAAACAAGTCAAACCTGTCAAATTTCAAGCTTCAAACTGAGAACTATTCTTCCAAATTCATTCTGATTACCCTGAAAACCAAAACCAACAATTTACATAAGTCGTAATACATCACACGGGGATAGTCATGCCCGAGAATTGGCAAGCAAAGTGCAAAAACTCAAAACGACCGGTCAAGTTGTTACAAAAGAGGCACTAAAAGAAAATTCCTTTTTTTTTGAATTTTTAGTCTTGATGTACTAAAAGGAAATATAAAAGCAATTTTTATTTTAAATTCTAGATATTAATTCAATAAAGGAAAACCACCTCAAACGATTTTTTATTCCTAGAATTAGTATTCTAAAGAAAACTTCTAACGAAAATATAAAAACGCAAAATTTCTTTTTTTCGGATTTTTGACTTACAACACATTTTCCAAATACAAAATAGGAAATATAATAACGAAAGACTTGGCAAAGTTAACTAGACTATGACACACTCTAACATCACCTAAAAGACTTGACATTACTGTACAAAACTAGAAGGTAAAAGATAACATAAAAAGAAAAACAAACTCAACTCATAATAAATAACAAAAATCTCCTTAAGAAACTCATGAATGAGCGATCCTGACTGGATGGTCCTAGGGGGTCAAAGTCATGCTCAAACTCCGATAAGCAGATCCACACCTATATGAAAAAATTAAGACAAAATAAAGTTAAAGACCTAGAACGCTATGTGAGACAATAACCCTTCCTGTTGGACACATGCAAGACATGATTGTGACTATTTTTCTAAAATTAACATATGTGGCTAAAAATGGCTAAAAATGCAAGATTTGGCTAAAACCCCGCGAAGCCAAGAATCTAAGACTCGCTAAGAACACCGTACCCAATGTGAGTTGCCTACATATCACGCCCCGAAAGACGAAAATCATGTATGCGTAGTTTGGGCATATTGGATATGGACGAGAATTAAAAAAAACAACTAATTTAGAGAAAATATTTTTTTTCTTTTTTTTTAAAATGATGAAACACGTAAACTCTTTTGGATTTTCTTTTCCCTTTTTGTTCCTTTTTTTAATTTTCGAAAAATGATGAAAAAGTGCAAAATCTTTTTTTTGAATTTTTTCATGTTTTTTTTCTTAACAAAAATGTGACAGGAAACATAATTGTGCCCTACTTGCTTTATTTTCAGTCTTCACCCTCTCTTTTTTTCTTTTTTAATTTGACCTCAACTATCGTTGGTCCGCCAAATGACCCTTTTACCCTTGAAGAATTGCAACATCTAGCATATACGATGTATCATGATGGTCTGTTATTTTGGGTACACCTGTTCTAGATGGACCCAACCCCTGTGTTGAATCCCCAAAGTCAAATGTACATGATGCAAACAAACGTGCCTACTAGGGATCCGTCATGAGGTTATGTTACTCTAAGTTTAAACCTGGGGTTGTGTTCTTGACCTAGCTTACCCGAGCAGACTACTCGAGCCGAAGAGAGGGAAACATACCGGGAGCATGAAAGTCTATCCAGCCTTGTTGCTGGCCCAACCTCACAATATTTGGTATGACTTCTAATAGAAAAGTGGGCTCAGACGGGTGGCGTAAGAAGGCATTTCAATACAATTCAAACAATATCAAAATTGTAAATGCATAGCAATTAGCACATTAGGTTCACAAAATACAGTAATATTAACAGTAAATAAAGCCAAATAAAATGATATAAACAAGCTTGAATTCTTGAACCATGAACCAGAGATTCTGGGTTCTGATCCCTAGCAGAGTCGCCAGAGCATTCACACTTCCTTTTTACTACCCCCGGAAGGGGTTTTATGGGAGTTTTGTTCCAATTAAAATGATAATCGAAAGGGGATTATTATTTAAGATCAGAGTCGCCACTTAAGATAATTCATGGGTCCCAAGTCACCGGTTTAGAATCCCGAATCGAGGAAATTGACTCTTATTTATGGTCTGCGAACATAAAAATCTGGGTAAGGAATTTTGTTAATCCGGGATAAGGTGTTAGGCATTCCCGAGTTCCGTAGTTTTAGCACAGTCGCTTTGATCATACTTGGCTTAATCAAATTGTCTAATTACTCAATTTTATAACCTATGTGCATTAGCTGCTTTTAATTAAGAAATTATCTTAAAACAGGTCACGCGTACGTGTACCCATTTATTTGGCGTGTCAAAAATCATGTCACGCGAACGTGTTCACAATTAATAACGCTTTATTTTTATTAAGAAGGTTTAGTACGCATACTCTGATTTTTTTTTTAGAATCGTAATTATGTCACGCGAACGTATCCACAATCACGATGATATATTAAACGTGCCTAATGCAAACTACGAGGTTTATGAATATTAAAGGCCTAAGCATGCTCCTAACGATTCATTATTTGGAAGATATGAAATGATATAACACATATTCAATATTCAAATAATCTTTGACTTTACTAACACCATGAGAAACAATCTATTCTACAATTAAACTAAATCTAAACTTTAATTTTCCTTTGGCTATATTGTTCAACAACATATAATTAATATAAATCTTAACCAACTAATATGAACAAAATCAACCAAACATAATTCATGTAAGTCTTAACAAATGATATGAACAAAACCAACCAAGTCTAGAAGAAGACAGGAAGAACAAAGAGTTAAAAGAATCATACCTCATGAGAAGCTTTCTTCAAAATTAGATAAGATGATTTGAGGGAGTACAATTGAATCCGCCAATTTAAGCCCAAACAGCGAGCAAATCATAACAACAAACGAACCGCAACTATCAACCGGAGAGCTCAAAACCGAACGCCTCAAACTCGGTGTTTGATACAAGATTGAATCTATGTGGGTATTAGCAGGTTTACCAACCAGTGGATGATTGTGCTCCTTCACCAATTTAGCAACAACCCACTTTTCAGATTGTTCTTTCTTCACTATTATCATTGCCTTACATCCTTCCCTAATTGCTCTGCACTTCCTTTGTCCATTCTGATTTTGTCTGCTTTTACTAAAACCCTCTTTATTACACACAAGCCGGTGCCACACCAACTCCCCATTACACATAGATCGAAGAAATGCATCTACTCTCATGACAAACCCCAAATGTGTCGCATATGTGCTATAGTATGCTTTAGCAGCTTCTTCTGATTCAAATTCCATACCAACATAAGGTTCCAAATTCGGATGCCCTTCAGCTTCAACACCATTTCTGGTCAACTCCTTCCTACTAGAACTCTCTACCATCTCCCATCATCTACTGTAGTATTGTTTTGATCCACGACATAATGTTCCATATTCAAACGCCCTTCAGCTTCCACTCCATTTGTGGTCAACTCCTTTCCACTTGAACTCTCAACCATCTCCGCATCATCTGTTGCATAATTGCTTTCATCCATAGTACAATATGTAAATCAAAAATCCAATTGCCACTGATAAATGTGTTGTTTCTGGTTAGAGACTCGAGCACGTTGTGTGCACTTCAGCTTATTGGTCTCCGGTTTTCGGCCAGTTCTGGTGGTGAGGGAGCGTTGAGTTAGAGGATGGTTGATGGCAGGCTGGTTACTATGAGGTTCATGGTGTTTGGTTAAGAAGAAGCAATTAAAATGGGCTATTCTTCTCTAAAGAAGAAGATGAGATCCAAAACGGGGGAGGGGGGTCGTTTCTTTTTGCTTAGGAAAATCTAGAGGGGTTCTCGATTTTGGAGTTTGTGTTGCTGGGGTCTTCTCTTGGTTTTTTTTAGAAGAGAGGTCCCTAAAGAAGCTGTGTTTGATATGCTCAGGAAGATGAAGTTCTGGGGGGAGGGGGGCGTCTAATGAAAACGGCGGATATCCAGTTTAGGTCTAATGTCTAACTAGGTCTAGGGATCTTTTTATAGTCTAAGTCTAGGGTTTTAAGGGGTTATTATGGGATATGTCCGAAAATTAGGTCTAAAAATAGGTTGTTTGAACTCAAATTTATTTTTTCTTGGTGAACGAGACTAAAAATACGACATCATTTACTAATTAATCTTACTTAAGCAAAATAGTTATTAAAATAAGACTGACCGTTAAAACAAATCTTTTTTTTTTGTATTTTCAACCATCATATTAAAATAAAAATAAGGTACTATTTTTGTATATTTTTTTTAGCTTTATGAAAGGTACATAAAAATAAAAATATTTTTGGAATTTTTATTTTTGTGACGAAATAAAGTAAAAGAGTCAAAATTAGTTGATATAACTATATTTAGGCTTAAACTAAATATTTACATGCTAAAATATGTAAAATCTTGGGAGGATAAACAATCACATATCTACTTACCCGACTAACCAATTTTATATTTTTCCCTAGATGTCTTTGTCACCAATAACGGTCCACCTTCCTCTTTATCCATAAGTCTTGTTCGACGGAGCATTGCAATGGGTTCAAAACTCTCTTTCACCTGCTTTTTTGTCATCATTTTTCGTGGTCATCTTAAACACGACGCCAAACCACAATTCCAGACACCTTTTTCCAAACCGTGGAGATAGACAACAACTGGTGATCCCTCTCGCTTGCAGCATCTCCTACTTTCGTTGCTCTTTAAATCTTATCTAGGGTTTTGTAAACCTAAGTAGATTTTATTGATTTACATATAAAGATTTTTCTTTTTTTACAAGACTGGATTTAATAGGTTTTCGATTAGTGAAAATTTGTTAGTAAATATCAAAACCGAGGTCAAAAGTATGTAAAATCTAAAACCAAAAAAAATAAAAATCATCCAAATTAAAATTTGATTTGTTTTGGTTAATTTTTCAGTTTAATCTGAATCATCACACAACCCTAGACCATGGCATAGGTTAGTGACCTCCATTGCACTTTGGAGGGATGCCCGCCTAAGGTAGGTTCAAGTAGTTGAGCCTACATCATAATTTGTGACAGTACGGGCTTGCGTTCGCGCCGTCCCTTCTGTTAAAAAAAACTCGCTTAAAGTACAAATGAAACAAAAGAGCTACTTTAAAAACGTTAAGGATACTTTTAGTTAATGAGGATACATCAAAGATGTATTTAAACTTTACGAGTCGTTTGATTGATGACAAATTATGAATGGTTTAGTAATACAAGGATTATAATATAATAATGCACAGATTGTAACGGGGACTAATAATGCAAGAATTATAGTGTGGGGATTAAAAATTCTAGAACTACAATGTAATTAGTAGTGCAAGGATTTTAAAGTATAAATTATTTTTGTTGGATATTTTTAAGGAAAAAGAAGAAATAAATCTAGAGTGTATCGGCTTTTTTGCTAATTTTTTATCTTATTAAATCCATGTCATAATACATAAATTCCTGCACAACTTTTGCAGGAAACAGAAGATACAACCAAACGGCGCATATAGTTTAATTCGATGCCTACATACCAACAACATGTTGAAGTTTGGCAAAATGCCAAAGTCCCACATCGGTTGGGAGAAGGGTTGGGGGATTTTTTCCCCTATAAAAGAAGACCTAATGTTTAGGATTTAAACACACCTCTCATTTGCCTTCTTATCTTCTTAAGGCATTTGTATCTTCTCTCTTTAGTATTTTTTCACTTGTATTTTGGAGTGGAATAAAATATTGGTNTAAGCTTCTTTTTACGGTTTTAGGGATATTGGGCTTGAATTGTTATGGGCTAAGTCCGAAAATTAAGCCTAAAAATGGGCCGTTTGCGCCCAAATTTTATTCTTTCTCCGTGAACAAGATTGAAATACTACCTTATTTACTAATTAATCCTATTTAAATAAAATAACATAACCTCATGCCGGATTCCTAATAGGAATGTTTATTTGCATCACATGCATTTGACTTAGGAGACTCAACACAGGGGTTGGGTCCGTGTAGGATAGGTGTACCAAAAATAACAAACCATCTTGATGCATCCTATGTGCTACATGTTGCATTTCTTCAAGGGTAAAAGGGTCATTTGGCGGACCAATGATAGTTGAGGTCAAAAGAAAAAAAAACTAAAGAAAAAGGGTGAAGTGTGAAAATAAAGCAAGTAGGGATCAGTTATGTTTTTCTATCACATGTTTGTTAAGAAACAAACATGAAAAATTCAAAAAAGATTTTGCACTTTTTCATCATTTTTCAAAAATAAAAAAAACAAAAAAAAGAGAAAAGAAAATCCAAAAAGAGTTTCACATGTTTCATTATTTTTCAAAAAAAAGTTACAAAAAAATGTATTTTCTCTAAATTAGTTGTTTTTTAATTCTCGCCTATATCCAATCTGCCCGAACTACGCATACCGGATTCTTGTCTTTAGGGGCGTGATACCTACACAACCCACATAGAGTCCGTCTTCCTAGTAAATCTTAGGTTCTTGGCTTTGCGGGGTCTTAGCCAAATTTTGCACTTCTAGCCACCTTTTTGGCCACATAAATTATTTTGCAAAAATAGCCTCAACCATGTCTTGCATGTGTCTAGTAGGGAATGTTATTGTCTCACATAGTGTTAGTTTCAGTTTTCTCATACAGGTGTGGGTCTATTTACTGGAGTTTGAGCATGACAGACACCTCGGGGCCATCCAGTCAGGATCGCTCATTCAGGAGTTGTTTAAAGAGATTTTTTTATGTTTTGAGTCTGTTTTTCTTTTTATGTCGTCTTTTACCTTCTAGTTTTGTACAGTAATGTAGAGTTTTTTTGTTATTGTACTTTCTATTTTGTATGTGAAAAATGTATTATAAATCAAAAATAAAAGAGATTTTGTATTTTATATTTCCGTTAGAAGTTTTATTTAGAATACCAATTCTAGCAATAAAAAATTTCTTTTGAGGTGGTTTTCCTTAGGAAGTTAATATCTAGAACTTTAAATAAAAATTGCTTTTATATTTCCTTTAGTATATTAAGACTAAAAATTCAAAAAAAAAAAGAATTTTCTTTTTGTACCTCTTTAAAAGATTTCTTTTAAGATATTAATTCCAAAAATCCAAAAAGATTTTCTTTTGAGGTTCTTCTTTGGGAAATTAACGAAAAATGGAAAAAAAATTCTTTTATTTTCATTAGAACTTTAGGATATTGTACATAGAAGAAAAAAATGTACTTTATCTTTTATTATCTTTAGAGTTTCTTCCTTAGGTAATCAAAAACTGAAATCCAAAAATATTTTTTTATCTTGTTCATTTCTCGTTTCGAAATCTTTCTTCGGGATATCACATGAAAATTCAAAATATTTTTCTTAGGTTTATTCTTTAGATTTCCTTCCTAAAAAAAGAATCAAAAATATATTTTTCTCTTCCTTAATAATTTCTCATAGAGTATTTGTTTCAAAAAGAAAAAAAAGAAAAAAAAAATATATGCTCGATAAGCTTGAGTTTAGAATAGGTTATAGAATATTAAGTTTAGAAAATTCAAAAAAAAAAAGAAAGAGGATTTGCTTCGTTTATTTCTCTTTTCTCATCAGAGTAGTCATTAAGGTAAAAAAAAGAAAAGAAAAAGAGAACGTTAGTTTCTTTACTTTATTTTCGATCTTCCCGAACTACGCAAAGATCTGATTCATGCGGTGTCATACTACGTAGGCAACCTACATAGGGTTTGATCGAATCATTTTCTTTTTCTCAAAAAAAAATCAAAAAAAAAAGAGAAAAGAAAAAAAGAGGATGAAGTTGTGGGACATGAGAAATGAGAGGAAAGAAAAGAGCGATAATCAGGAAAAAAAAAGGAAAATGAGCAAGCCAAGAAGTGACAGAAAATGAAAAATAAAGAGAAGATTCAAATGGACAAATTGGGATGATGCGAAGTGACCTCATGACCCTCGAAGTCATTCTTGAACCGTTAATTGTTGCTAGGTGCACTGCACGTATGTGATATTTTTAGCTGTTAAATGCCCTAATGCTAACAAGGTAACCCCATTTTGTTCCTTTTGTTATCTTCATTGAGCAGAAGAGTGGTTGGTTTGTGGTTCTTAAGTAACTCATCCATACAACACAAGGTCAAAGAGCAAGGTAGTCATGGCTGACAAAGAGTTGAACACGGGCGTTACTGATCCAGCTAAGGAGATTGTTGAGTCAGAATCTGAATTGAAAAAAGAGGTCTTAAGGTTGAAAGGACAGATGACCAAAATATACCAAGCTTGGATTAATGGGCATCCTCCACCATCAGTTCCACTAACTACACTGAAAGCCTCATTACCATTCCGCCACTGTCACAAATCCAGGATATATCCACACAACCTTTTTACACTCCAACCCCCAGAACCACCTCATAGCGGGATTGTTTTCAAAATCCCTGATGCCCAACACCATGCGCCAGAACCAGTTTTCAAGGTCTCAGGTCCATACTCTTACGCTCCTCATTTTGAGCATCCCGGTGAGACTGCAAAGCCTGCTAAGACAGTGGAGCAAGATGAGATATCCAGAAAGCTGAAAGGGTTTAAGATGGAAAAGTTTAATTTATATGATGGGCGTGGAGATCTAGTAGCCCATCTGAGGGGTTATTGCAGTGAAATGAGAAGTGTTGGTGGGAAAGATGAGTTGCTGATGGCGTATATCAGTGGGAGCCTTACTGGGGAAGCTTTGGAATGGCATACTCGTCAAGATGTTAGTAAGTGGCATACATGGGGTGATATGGCTCGAGATTTTGTTCGGCACCATCAGTACAATGTAGACATATCCCAGACCGCTCCTCTCTATCTAAGATGGAAAAGAAACCCCAAGGAAAATTTTAGGGAATTTTGGTTCATATGGAACGAACAAGTTGCTCGGGATAGTCCTCCTACTGATAGAAAAGATGTTGCTGAACCCCGCCAATGACAGGATCCAGTGGGCATTCCGGCTAAATACTTTCA